TCATAGCAGCATTCCCGACAGACCATTTTACCTCATTCACAAGTTTCTGACTTCTGTATCGCTGTTTCCCTCCCTTCACTCTCACTCAGCAGTTCAGAGAGGGGAGGGGGAGTACAGTGACCTAACGCTATGCTGCGCCTTCAAAATAAAAGCACGCTAGTTAAAAAAATGTCAAAATCTAATATTTTGCGGTACAATTTTTTGGGGGGGACATATCCACCTGGCTTTTATATTGGGGGGGACATGTCCCCCCCGTCCCCCCCGCTTCCTACGCCGCTGTGTGCAGCCATAGTTTTTTCTCTAAAAGGCGAAGACCGTTGTTTTGGAGAAAAGAGTTGTTTTTTGCTGCTTTCCAAACAGCATCCCTGTATCCTTGAGAGATAAATCTTATGAAAACGCCTCTAGGTTTCGACTGATCTTGTTGAGGTTTTCCCACCCGGCGCGCGACGTCTATAGCAGCAGTGAGCCTTTCCTTTTCCTCCGGTAGAATCGCCTGACAGACGCTGATCACTCGAGCTCGCACTTCCGCCTCCCTATCCTCTGTCAGCCCTTGGAGCCGCAGGTTCCACCGGTGGCTGTTTCGCTCCAGCTCACTGACCCGCCTCATGTTTTTTTTACAGCAGACTCCTCGTTCCTTTGCACTCTCTTCTCAGTGTGAACCACCTTTGCATTTATGACTTTAATCTCGCCGCGAAGAGATTCCACCATTTTTTCGAGGGTGTCGCTCCTGCTGTTATCAGGATGGTCTCACGAGGCTAGGAGCACACAGCATCGTATGAACCGAGCCCGGCTTCTCTAGTAAAAGTTGGTCTCTTAGGGAGCGGAAGCTTACTTGGCGTTATGGGTAACGGAGGGAATTCTTCAAGGCTTGTTTGCTGGTTGCAATCCATTCCGTCGTTTGTATAATCGTGGTCGCTAGCTAAGCAGCTACCCCCCTCCTCGTTGGGCATGGAGTCGTCAGGACGCTTCTGCCCGGATTTTCTAGGCATTTTAGGCGTGTTAGTTTAGTCTTTCACTTAGAGTTTGTGTTAATCTTTTCTAAAAAAAAAAATATTTCAGCTGGATTTACAAAAACTAGTGGCCAATGTGTGTATTATAATCGGTTGGATGCCGAGAGCTCGTTACGTTGCGGCTATTCCCTCCACCATCTTGGCCGGCGGCATTACACCGGCTCCCCCTCCTGATCGGGTCGGGAGGTGATGAGAGGCTGATCCCCCCTCGTTGCGTACTGAACACTACAAGACGAGCGATCGGAAATGACTGGAAAGTCGCCCCGAAAAGGGCAAAAAACCGCACATTGTAAGACCGGCTTAACTTTTTAGCCGATTGAACAAGTCTACTATAACATCTAGTAGTAAAAAGGAATCAAACGGTGTCATCTTCGAACTATGCTTCCACTAATGCTTTGGAATTTATAATTTCGCTATAGGATTCTACAAATAAATATACCTGTCCCTTAACAATAAAGAGCAAGGTCGCACTAAAACAATGAAAGGAAAAAAAAAAAACTATGACGTTTATTTAAAATACGGAACAAACTTACCGAAACCATGAGCAAAGTTGATGAAGCTCAAAATTAAGAAAGTTGCCCCCAAACCTTCCATCTCTGGACTTTAAAGAGTGATGAAAGGGTATGTCTACTCTTAATGCCATCTGGGCGGTGTCAGCAGGATGAAACCAGTTTTAGAGTAAGTTGGAGAGAAAATTGCTTGAGATGGGATTGGGTATTTATTTTTTTCAGATTTCATTCTCTGCAGAGGCAATGTTCATTTTGGGACAATAGTATGCTTTTTGCAGGTTAGAGGAAATACAAACACCATGTCTGCCTTCATGAAAATGCACTTCTAGGGCCCACAAACAAATATTTACTGACAAATCACTATGACAGTGAACACAACAGGATGACTTTTTAGGAACTAGAAACAGAGTCAAATAATGGTTGATAGAGACAAAGNATTGAGAAAATATTACACTGCAGTATCCAACATTGCTGGTGTTTTAACATAAAACAAAAAACAAAAATGAAAATCATTACATTTTGCCAGGGAAAGTACAAATTTACAAAAATATATTAAATTGTTTACACACATTTACAGTTTTTGTTGCCTTTTGTTCAGCAATAAAAGCTTTGTAAAACTGTGAGGGTAGCCCATCACTTCCTGGCGATTTGTTATTTTTTAGTTGGTTTAGAGCTTGCTGTACTTCTTCAAGTGATATAGGCATTTCACAGTGCCCTCTATCTGTTTCACTTATCATCTTCACTGACATGGAGTTAAAAAAATTATCAGACGCAGTCGGGTTAAATTGAGAGCTATAGAGGTCTTTATAAAATTTTGAACAAAACTCAGAAATTTTGCGATGATGTTCGGTGATAACTCCATTAATATTTAATTTACTAATACTGTTGGTGGTGGAGTGAGATTTCTCTAGACTAAAAAAATAACGAGAGTTTTGTTCGCCTTCTTCTAACCACTTAGAGCGAGACCTGATAAAGGCACCTTTTGCTGATAAATTTCATCAAGTTTGATTTTTGAGTAAGATAACTCTTCTTTTTCCTCCTTTGTCAGGGAGTCAAAATCTCTGCAGGATAATTTTGTTATATTAGAGATAATCTTTAATTCCTCCGCTTTCCTGGCTTTGACTGTTTCAGCACCAAACTTTCTTAAATATTTTCCTATTTCATATTTGAGCAGATCCCAGTTGATCCCAAAACAGTTTTCTTTATTTGCCTTAGACCAATAAGTTGAAATCATGTCCCTAATCTTAAATTGGACTACTTCATTTTGTAGTGCAGAGCAATTTAGCTTCCAATAGCTTGAGTGTGTGGCAGGCGCATAACCAGCTGAGATATTAATAGATATGCATATGGCTTTATGATCAGTTAATGGAGTAGGGCAAATACTAACATCAACATAACCCTTATTAAAACTGTCAGATATGAGCCAATAGTCCAGTCGTGATTGCCTAGAGCCTGATTTATTGCTCCAGGTGTACAACCTACTATTAGGATTCTTCTCTCTCCATATATCGATCAGTTTAAATCTACTTATGAAGTCAGTCAAGTATGAGTCTGAGCTATCATGCTGAGAGGGAGGACTTTTATAAATAGACCCATCTGGAATAATGTTAAAATCACCTATCAATATAAATGCATTTGGGAGTCTAATCAACTAACCTGTGAAAATTTTTTCAATTGATAACAAAAGGTTAACATTTTCTTTCTTTGCATTGTACCCATAAATATTTGAAACTAAGTAGGTTGAGTCATTTTGTTCAATAACCTGGCAAATAAAATGACCATCTGGGTCACATTGTGTGGTCAAGACATTTCCATTAAACCTGTTATTTAAAGAGGCTACCCCAGCTGACCGCACTGTTCCATGGGAGAGCCATATAGTATTTCCCCATTGAGACCTCAAAAACTTAGAATCATCCTCATTTGAGTGAGATTCTTGGAAATAGGTAAAGTCTGATTTAAATTGTTTTGCGAACAAGAATAAAGCTTTGCTTTTAACACTATTACGAAGACCCCTGGCATTTAGTGAGACAATTGACAACATTAATAGGAACAAAAATAAGAACTATGAAAGATAAAGAACTTAACCTTAGAAAACCTTGGTTAAACACTACTAAAAGGGCCAGAGCCGCCTCCACCTCCTGAGGAGGTTGAGGGCCTTTGGAGTCAGCAGACCCCTCCTTAAAACCTTTTATGACTCTGTGGTGGCCTCAGCCCTCCTCTACGCTGTTGTCTGCTGGGCCCCTGGCAGCTCAGAGCGGGACAGAAAGACACTGAATAAGCTGGTGAGGAAGGCCACTTCTGTCCTGGGCTGCCCTCTGGATTCGGTGGAGGAAGTGGCTGAGAGGAGGATGCTGTCCAAACTCACATCCATCATGGACAACACCTCTCACCCCCTGCACTAGACTGTAGAGGAGCTGAGCAGCTCCTTTAGTCAAAGACTTAGACACCCTGTCTGTAAGAAGGAGCGCTACCGCAGGTCATTCATTCCTGCTGCCACCAGACTCTATATTAATGCACTATAACCACAATAACTCCTGTAAAAACCACTGTGCAATTTATTATAGATTTTTATTTTATTGACTGTGCAATATCCTGAATGTGCAATATTTCTCAACCTGTATATAAGCCATCCGGATTGTACATATTTTTATTTCTTATCTTTTTATTTCTTATTTTGATTTTATTTTTTATTGTGTACACTTGCACCTTAATCCTATTTATCTTGATATAGTGTATATACCTGGATATACTGTATATATATTGCTTATTCTTAATGCACCCTTTTCCTCCTTGTCTGCACCTTCTGTAACTTCTATGCCAATATTGACGAGTGAATTTCTCCGCTGTGAGATGAATAAAGCTCATCTAATCTAATCTAATCTAATTTACTAGTATTGAGAAGTAGCAGTGGCTTTCGAGATCAGCACCCTATTTAGTATTATAACTCAGCACACTCACACACAAAAAAAGAGTAATATTCAAACATATAACCGTAAAAGATGTATAAACATTATACCGTTTTGGCCATCAGGAACTGCACCTGCCATCCACACACACAAACTCCGCTTTAAGATAAGAAAAAGCATTAAAAAAAAAAAAAAAAAAACATTGGACCTACGCTTGACAGTTCACAGATGAATTTCCGACCCGTTCACGAATCCTCTTCCACCCACGAAATATGCC